ATAGATAGATAGATAGATAGATAGATAGATAGATAGATAGATAGATATAGACATACCATGCTGAATTTAAAGGGGAAAGAAAACCTCACAAAAACAGTGCACACTTCAGTTTTTTGTACCTGTGCCATAGAGCGGATCATTTGTTCAAATTCTTCTGAGGATGTTTTCCCATTGATGAGAGCCGAAGCTGACATGTCGCAGTAAGAAAGATGGCTGCCATTGGACTGGACTGCTGGGCTTTGGTCACTAAAGTCACCCCCTCTTGATGATGGTACGATACCCTGCGGAGGGCGTATTTAAAAAAAGAAAAAACAATAGAAAAGATTTGGACCTGTAACATAAAGGTGTGGGCTGCTGTTTGAGTCAATGTCCCCTGACAGCACTGATATGTGATCTATCACTAGTCTCATCTTGTGGGTTCTGCTTTAGGTCATGGAGCTGTGGCGTCTGTTTTGTTCTCAATGTAGTTAGCAAGTCATTACATGTTTACTTGCCACCCTGTTTCTAAAACTTTTTTTTTTGCGATAAAAATGTTAAAAATTGATTTTCTTCTTTTTTTTTTTTTTTTGTAGCAGCCAAAAAGAAAATTGTGGATGGTTGGCAAAGATTCACAGAAGAGTGTGTGTGAAAGAACACCTCTGAACATGTGGACAAAGCCTCAGGGTTTATCTCCTGAGGGAACGGAGGGAGGAAAGGCCAGACGCTCCATCATTTTTACGTCTTTAATGTGAAACTACAACCTTTTGTTCTGTGGATTAATGTAGCTCTGAGTTCGAACATGAAGCCATGTTGAAATGTACAATCTTTCATTTTGACAATTTCATTTAGTTGCGCATTTTTAATGCCTATAAACATTCTGATCAAACTGGGTGATACTGGAGCTCATTTACAAAGGTTGTGGTGTTTTGCGGCATTTGTTTGAACACAGCTAAGAGGCTTTGAAGTCCAGCAAAGGAATCATGTCCCCAGCAGTCGCTGCGGGCTATTTTCCAACATGGACAATTAAAGGTTTAAATGCCAACATTAGGACTTAGTCCACTACTGTGTACGTAAACATTTACCAAGTTTAATTTTAGACAACAAAGCCCTGAATCTGGCTGTCTATAACCACTGGGATGGCAGATAGCTTGTTATCCCACCGTGATTAGTAGGATCTATGGCAGCCTAATCCCTCAAGAGATAATAGCTCTTAGCTGATGTTCCAACAATGACTAAGGTCCAAATACTATATTTCCATCATGGTGGGGGAAGCCATCTGGATGCCTTAATATCCTTTGCTTTTAATTACTGCAATGACTTTAGTTGTGTGACAGAATAACTGCACGGATGAGACGACGACATAACCGTGTTTTCCTGATTTTATGAGCCAAAGGACGTGATGTTATGACGATCTGAATTGGATTCAAGAGGATGGACATAATGGAAAGCAATAATTTAGTAATAAGAGTCCATTTGGCATATGGCTTGGCTAAACCATAGTTGTCCTTGAGCATAGGACTTCAAATGATGAAGCTGACTGTACAACCTTTCGAGTTTGTGCTTTTATACCTGCTTTTTAAATACCTCCCCAGATTAGCCCTCGGCAGTAAAACTCCATAGGACGGGACGCATTAAAACTCTGCACCTCTACAAAAAGCACCCACGGCCAGGGTTAAGTTAGTGTAGCATGCTACTAAGTTGCCGTCCTCGTGCATGAGCTTTGTTAGCTGGGTCCTGGCTAAGAGGATTAAAGTTCCAGTTTGGTTCTTGCACATTTAAGAAATTGTTTCTGCCCCACTTCACATGATGGCGGCGGCCTCTTTCTCACTCAAGAGTGTGTGCCTGTCACCATAGCAACATGGACTGAGCAAGGCCTAACTAGCAGAAGCCAGAAGACGGCCAGTGTGTGTGTCTGGCTTTAGCCTGAGAACAAAACACAACATGGTACGTCCCTCCTAAATTGGTTGTTTTTTTATGGGGCCAAACGAGCACAGTTGGGTTCAGATGCTCCATAAAGATGGAATAGATACTTTTCTTTTTTTTTTTTTTGCTTGTTCTTTAGATCTGAGGGGAGTGAATGCTGAGGTGCTGCTCTGTACGTTTAGCTTGGTCAAAGCAACATGTGCAACAAACACTCCCACAAAGGAATGCACCTTCTTTGAAATAACAGGCACAAGAGTTTCACAAGGGTTTGTCTAATCTAAATTCTGCGAGGGGTAAAAAGCTCTTGCATCCCACTGCCTCCCACTGCATAGTTTGCATATTTTCATCTCCATTTCTCAAACGCTTACCCTGGCCCCTCTCCACTGTGACTTAAGAGCTCTTTGCCTTCACTCAAATGTTCCAGTTCTCAATGGAGGGAATCAGCTTAAAGAAAGAGTTCCCAACTTGGACCAACTATCTCTGCTCATGCACCCATATAATATCAGACTTGTGTGAAACCCTGACAGCAATTTGGACAGAGCAGCAAACGCTATTGGGAATGGGGATTGAGAGCAGAGGGAGGGAGTGCTTGACACAAGCCAGAAACAGGAGGTCAGTGAGGTCACCGAGGAGGATAAAGATTGAACAACGGAGACGAAGTAATCAACCTTTCGGATGGATTTAATATATAGAACACCTAGATCCATTCTTTTTGTCATTTTAAACTTGCTAAGTTATTTAAATCAAATGATTTAATCAGCCTTACTTTCTTACTACATCTTTTTGTTAAGGAATATAGATCATTTTCTAAAAGCAGCTCAAACCCTTTTTTGGTTTCATTGTAACAAAGGTGTTGAACACAGGACTTTGGGGAATTGTCTGCCCCTCTTTTTTCCAGATCCTCACAGGTTTGTCTCACAGGATACAGACTGTCAATGAACCGTCATAATCAGATCTCAGGGAAGGCAATGTGAAGGCAATGAGATCAAGACAAAGCTCTGACTCGGAGCCTTGAGAGCATTTAGTCACCCTTAAGCCACTCTGCCATTGTTTTGTCTGTGTCCTCTTGGTCACTGTCTAATTTGGGAAATGGAGTGTTCAGATGCAGGTTTATAATTTTTCTCTGTTATGGGTTTAAGTTTTCCTGTCACTCCTTGAACTAATCCAAATATATCAAATGAAATAAACTGTCTGTGAGGCCCTTCTCAAATGGCTGAATGGAGGCCACTGTGTTCATGCAAAAGTATTTTCATATCTATTTTTTTTTTTTTAAATTGAAAAAGTGAAGGGGGTCTGACAATAGGGTTATGTTTTAATTATCATTCTGATGATAAAGTGATAGACTGTTGCATAGTCTCTCTTCTATTATTATGCTGACTTTAGGCTGCACAGTGGGGAAATATGTATTTCTTGGATCAGTGCTGTAACGACCCTTGCTCACCTGCTCTTTGAGATGCTGCACAGACTTCTGCAGGGCCAGGATCTGGTGGAAGAGGGGGCTTTGAAGCACTGATTTGAGCAGGCTGAGCTTCTCCTCTGTGGGAACCTCCCCCCGCTCTTTCAGTTTGGCCTGGAGACGCTCCACCGCCTGCAAGGCACGCTGTGTATCTGCAGGCCGTCGCATATTTCAGTGACAGCGCCGGGTGGGTTGGAGGCATGGATGGAGGGAGAGGGAGACATGGGAGAAATGGGTTTATTAGAGAGGACAGTGATGCTTTTTCATCAATGACTTATTCTTTTTGCTGTATAAAAGACTTAAAATGTTTCCAAACCATTAGTTGTCTTTATGCTTAACAATGACTTGTGAATGAATGCCTGGGTTAATAACGGATAGAGCCGCATATCGTAACTTGGGCTTAGCTAAGGCTGACTGGTGCTCAACAGGCTTGACCATATCAAAATCACATCAACATAGTTTTTGTACAGAGGAAAAAATTCCACTTTTAACGCACCGTTTGTTTTAGAAGAGCATTTTTTTCTCTTTTTTTGCTATCCGGGTCAAAGCTGGGTTGCACAGGAGCATTGAATGGCTATCAGGAGGAAGAGATAAGAGAAGCAAACCCTCCACTGTTTGCTTGCTGGACCCTGCATAAGCCTTACAATCAAGCTACTCCAGAGTGGCTTGTTAGTGAAAAATGGCCAGCAGGATGGTGTCTTGGCAAAAATGAAGCAATTTCTGAAGCTCACTAACTGTGACTAACACCTTACTGGACATGCACATGGTCGAGAGCTCTCTTTGGACTGGGAGGCTTTATTCTTTGAACAAAGGTTGTAAATAGGCCAACAACGCTCAACTCTGAAAAGATTTTGTCATTATTGCTAGTGCTTGTTCGCAGAAGACTGCAGTTTTAATTGCTTTTTTCAGCTCGTTGTGAACTAGTCCCAGCAGACCGTAACATGTAGCCTAACCGTCTGTATTTTAAAGTGTTCTGAAGACACTGTTGTCCTCAAGCAGAGCACAGAGTACTATGTTAACATTATCAAGATAGTTAGTCTGACAAGGGGAGAATGAAAGTTGAAATTATTCCTTTTTCAAATCTAAAGATTCAAAGTTTTCAAAATGCCAACATGTCGATCTCAAAAGTGTCCACAGATTGCGGCTTTAAAGAATCTGGCAGTACCAGTTTGGCATCTTGCATGACAGTTGGACAAATAAATCTCTTTGGGGACAAACAATCATCAACAATCGATGGCAACATTATCAGATGTGGAAACACTGGCAGTCCACATGCCTTGAACAGCATCCAGGGGCTCTCTAACACTGACTGGGGGGAGAAAACTTAGCAAAGCCCAATTATTATGCAGTACTAGCACGCATCTCTTTAATCTAAAACCCAGTGTAGAAAAAGTGAAGACTCAGATTTGAACACACAATTCAATAATCAGGGCAACATTGACCCTTGGAGCTAGGCTGGCTTCAGCTGAGACAGTTTTAGACACTTCAGAGATGCATTATAAATCCTACTAGACACAAGCTGGAGTCCTGACCAGAAACCTATACAATACTGTCTAAGTCAATCTAGCTGAAACTGGAACAAAAAACAAATCAAGACTTACCCATTGTTTCGATCATTTTTAGACCCAAAGGTAAATTCGAAATCTTTTCCTTTCTCAAGGCCTAAAAATGGAAGAGAAACCAAAATTAAATGGCAGAATAGCATGTATGAATACAGGAATAATACATTCATTCACACCACTCATTCAATTTGACACCAGATTTTAAAATAAACATTTAATATCAAATTGCTCATGTCAGATGTGAACATTCAAATTTCTTGAGACATCATTCTTATCATTGGTTCTTTAAAAACAACCAAGTTTAATGACAACACCCTTAAGACAAAATCCTAACAGCTGTCACATGCTTTGGAGTCTGAATGAAGTCCAATGTGATCAAACAAAAATGAACAATTCTGACCTGCAATATTTGTGAGAAATTTCAAGGATTGACTTAAAAAAAAAAAAAAAAAAGAGAGAGATTCCTGTGTTTACTGGATCAGACCGTGGTTGGTCGGCAAAAGCAACATGTCATCAAATCTGAAAATGTACAGTAAGATCAAATCATCCTCTCAACGTATAAACATCCTTGCTACCTTGATCATGTTTTGAAAGCTTTAGAAATGCTACTGGGATGTTTGCAGTCCACCTCAGCGCAGGGAAATTCACACTTGACTTCAGAGGAGGTTTTTTTTACAAGCACGCCATGAATCACAGACTGCACAGTTAAAGGAGATTGGTCAGATAATTGAAGGCACTGTGCTGACTCAGACTAGCCACAGTTACAACACTGTAAGACATCAGGATGATACATCAGTGGGTGGTAAAAGTTCATTAGATCCGCATATAAAACTGTATTTAGTTATCTATTAGTATTTCATTATCTAATACCAAATTTCCCTTCGGGGATGAATAAAGTTATCTATCTATCTTAAGATAACTGAGTCATCTCATGTTGTATAAGATGACCAAAATAATGTGCACTTATCTGAGCATAGTTTGTGATTAATGTGTTATTTAAAGACATTTAGCTAAGTGATTACTCCTCCACTGTGACCTCACGGACATGTTTATACAGTTTCACAAATATCCCACATCCTGTGTTCAGGTGGATTTCAATCCGAGCTAGTTAGCATTCCATACTCTGCACACCGTTTTCATCAGGAAAACTACTGCTGACTTGCTTTTGAGATGTCTCGTAATGATTAACATTTGACCTGGAGGAGCTCGTTACTTCAGAACTTTAACCCCCAAAACAGGTTTGTTGTCAGACCGTGTTTGCCTTTGGAAATAAAGGTTGAAATCACGATGAGCTTTGCTGAGTCTGCCGGTGGGTCGTTAACGCCACGGTCCCGTCTGCCGTCACCGTTTTCCCTCCGAAAACTCACGTTGGTTGCATTGCTGCTAAACCGTTGAATTAGTTTCTTTAACAAATAATGTGTCGTAAACTTCTGTTATTACGTCCCAGTCCATGTTTTTTGTTTCTCTTGTGTTTTGAACGCTGTCGCCAGAGCAGTCGGGACAATCCGCTTTTCTCAACTCCTCCTCCTTCCCCATCTCTGCTGTGGAGCAGGAGAGCAACAGGCTTCCGACAAACACTGTAAACAAGTTAGAGTATGGCGGTTTTTAAGCCAAAGAAACCCCCTGCGGTTGCTATTGCTCTACACTGAAAGTCCGTTATACTTCAAATAAAACCGTAAAAGCGTTTCCAGTCCGTTTTTTTTTTCTGCCTTGTCTCGCCGTGACAGCAGGCGTCTCCTTATGTTCGTCTAACTGGCGACATGATAGGAAACAAAGGCGATTTTCACAGATGCTAAAGTTAGGCCACCCTGAAACGCAGGGAAACGCTTTCTCACGAGAAAAACCTGTTCAAAACGTCGTCACTTACATGAGTGTTGAGCCTTCTCTCAGCCAGCGACCGGTGTCCTGTGGGCTACTTTCTTCCGTTGTCCCGCGGCTAACGGCGCAGTGACTGGGGCTTAAAGATGGGGCGTAGAGAGTAACACGATCCTCTGGACATTTTCAGCGTTAGCCGCCTAGCATCTGAGCTTGGGCTGAAGCGCCGCTTGCCGGCTGGCCCTCTACCTGGAATTGAAATGTCCGACCTGGTAGAGGCTCCGAACTCCAGTCAGTTCAGAAATGCATTAAACTCTCATAAATATCGAGTAACTGTTTGAGTTAGGAACAGTTTCTGTCAAGATAGTTAACTTTGTAAGCGGCCCCTTCACGGGCACGTTATAAACAATAATTACACATTAAGAACGCTTCATAACAGGATTAACTGTCATTGACTTTTGAGCAATTTCCACGGGTCAGATTAAACATTAAATATGTCACATCAAGCAAAAACCCACAAATTTAGTTGCAAACTCCTTTAGAGTTGTCTGGTGTGTAGATGCAGATGTTTTCATTTTTCAACTCTGAAATGAAAACCACTGACAAGGTGGATAATACTGCCCAAAAGACACCGGTCAAACCTACCCACTACTGTCATGGGAAGTATCGACATGTTTCTAATATTCACAGAACTCTCTTCAACATAGGCAGATATCTTTTTTCATGCCATAACTTGTCTGAGCTCCTTAGGAAGAAAACCTCAGTATAAGGCAGGTGGTCGTATTATGTCTGTTTGCTATATTCAGAGTGCCCTGAAGTGTTTTTTTATTTTTATTAAAGGATTGGCCTAGTTGTTCAAACTGATCTGAACTGTATGTCACATAGATTTCATAAACATGAAAAGAAATGTCTGACAGTGGGTTTAATCAACCCTATTAGCTGATATTGAATTGGTTTCCTTTGGATAAATGGTAAATTACAATTGCATCACTGTTGTTTGACAGCAACAGATGATTAAAAAAGGGTGAATGAGGAGACATAACAGTAATGACATTTTGTTCATGACAGTAAAATTGGGTTCTTAAAAATGATTGCTTTTGTGATCGCTTGGCCTCAGTGACACATTAATGTTACGCATACAGCAGTACCTTTGTGTGCATCCGTGTGCACACATCACAGGTCTTCCAGTTTTTGAATTGTGTTGTTAAAGAATTACTCTTTTTTTAGACAGTATTTATTGGAGTTACATATCTTCATTTCCTGATCCAGACCCATTTGTAATAGTTATGGGTGAATTCTGCTTTCCCTAAAAGCCCGTTGTTATTTCATTGGTGTGTGATTGCACAACTTGTTTTGATGTTATATTAACTGGAATGTTCTGCTCCCATTTGAAATTCTTCAGTAGTTTGCATTTCATGCTTCACTATTGGTGATAGGAAAACTTATGAGCCTACCAAATTTGAGGAGGTACTTAAATATGTTAAATACTCATTGGGATCAGGTCTGGTGCTTCAGTTGTGTATGTCTTACTTTATAATAGAAGAATAGCCAGGGTTGTGTACAAGGTAGATAAGACCTAGCTGTTGATCCTCCCTTTAGCTCTGGGGCTGCCATCTCAAGATGTCAGAGGATGACAGAAAGGAACAGGGTCATTCTGTAAGAAGTCATTTCGACAAAAGGAAGAGGGATACAAGCTGCTATCAGAGGGCTGATGCTGACTAAATCCCTTCATCTTTTTTATCTTTCTCCCACCTTTGTCACATCCACCCCAATAACTCTTCTCTTGCTCTGACAGTAAGCCACTTTCTGAAGGTCTAGCTCGGCTAAACTCTAAAGTTGCAACTGAGGAAAAATAGAATGGAAGACATCACCATTTAAGCTTAAGTGCAAGGCTGCAAGGCTATTTAGACTTTTTTTAACTCGATAGTTACATGTCATCGGTAGCAGTCACTGTCCAGGACAGAATACTTGTCACGCTAAATGTGCAATAACTTAATTCACGTATTCTCTGTCCCCCTTACAATAGTAAAAGTCAATGTATTATCTTGCAGCACTGATAGTTTAAAGTTGGAAAAATGTTGTGCAAGTTCACCTCATTAAGGTTGATTGCTTTACACCACACACCTAACTAGACTACACTACCTAGATAATTTACGCAGAACACAAATAATGAACATCACAACTGAATGACTCGTCTTTCACCATTTATGAGCCTTCTTTAACCAGTCGGACCAACTAACTGAAACCAGCAGAGCCAACATCAAAGGCTCGATAACAAAAGTTCAAAGAAAAGCGTTTTTGTTGAAGTGGGGAGAAAATATGAGGAAAAAGATTTTCTCTAACCACATCAACAGCCATGGCCCTTATGCCTTCAAATCCACTCGCCTGGCAAGCAAAGGCCAAATGCAATAACAAAGTACTATTTATTTGCAATAAACATAAATAGATCAGACATTTACACTTAAAAAAATATGACAAAAATTACATGACCAAATCTTTTCTAAAAATGTATTTTCTAAGAATTTTTTTCTGGCAATAGCTGTATGAGGCTAGCCTGAAAAATGGGCTCATGTCTTTGCATTATTTCATTAAGTACCTACAACAGCTGTTCTCAGTCTCTGTGCCTTTGGTTTTCTCTTCAACAAGTAAAATGTTGCTAACTTTGTATGGGTCCAGAGGCCAACACAGCCAATAGAGAAAACCTCTATTCAATTTCTTAATCGGGGGAGGAAAAAAAATCAGGACTGGTTTTAAGGTATGTTTTGGGTCTTTAACCACCCGTCATACAGTTTTGTTGCAGTTGTCTAAATATGATTAAACGCTATATCCCTTCATCCGTCAGAACTCAGTTTCTGTTAAATCACAAAAAACAGTGGCATACGAAGACAGCTTTTATGATTAAGCATAGCCTCCAGTGGCACAAACAGTTGGTTTTGTTTGTTTTTTTATTACTGCCTGAAATTCCCCAAAAATATACAGACTTGCACTTAGTTTTTATCTCAGGATTTTTCCTTTTCAATACCTAAACCAACCTCCCTATTCTCACTGCTCATGGATTAATTTCACATTATGGCAAGCCCTCTGTATTTACCCAGTGAAATCCTCCGTTTGTGGAAGTCTTTGGTGATAGTTTGTAGTTGAACAAATATCTTTTTTTTCACTTGTTGTTGTGAAGGTGAAAGTGTTTTCCTTTAGCGCCCACAGAATCATTATTCTGTGAGTGAACTTTGACAGGAGTCATTACACGGAAAATGTTTTCGGCCTCAGCATGCTGCATTTTTCAAAGAGCAGGGATTCTCGATGTCCGACTTAAGGCTCAGTCTGTACAAACCGACATAAAGAAAGAACCAGTCATTTGAACATGTTTTGATCATGTAGCGTTAGAAATTCGGGGATAAGATGCTGTCAAAATATTTGCATGTGTTTGTCCCACTGTCAATTTTCCTCCAACGAGCAAGTGGCAGTGTAATGAAGGCACCATCATGCTTAAATTGCACCCTGGCATGATTAATGCCATTAGCAGAACCCATGTAAAACAGATCTACGTGTGGGAATGGTCCGTAGATGACTAATGCATAGCACTTGGCAGCAATTGCTTTCACATAGCTTGATTGCAATTTGAAGATAATTCAAGGTCATAGTCATATTAATAAAATAAAAAAATGAATAAATAAATGGTTCCCTCAAAAATCACTCCTGTATGAAGTTAGGTCTACATATTTTTCTTGAAAGGAACTCAACTTTGGGCAAGTTCCTTCGCTGAAAAAGAGCTGAAGCCATGCAGTGTGATAAACAACTTGCCAAACAAAATCACAAATTGAATGACTGAATCAAATTGGCAGAGTGAAAGCAAGCATTGTCAGACTGTTTGATTTATTGCCAATACAACCATCAACATTTGAATGGGCTTTGGAGTTTTGACATACCCAAAAATTGTTTGGGAAGGCTTCTGGAAGGATTCCGACATTTTTACTTCACTATTCACACACAAGAGCAGGGCTGAGAATATGGTGATTCAGAATGTCCCTGGGGTCAAAGGAATGAACATTTAAAGTTTTGCCTGATCATGTTAAACAGAGTAAAAATCACATGGATCACATGGAGCTGAATAAAACTAAAAGTGAAGAAAAGTTTACATCGGAACAGAAGTTACTTTCGGAGTGTTGATACTATTTACTTAGAATAATATGCTTGAAAGACATCAGAAAATCAGGTTTACAACATCCTAAAGCAATGTTAAAAAGCACACATCAGTAGCACCAATACATATTTCAAAGATATGTTTTAAAAAAGAAAAAAAAAAGGTTTGTGAATGTGATTGGAGTCAATTGCCCTCAATGTGCGAAAGCTGGCAGAGTTAGCTTGCCATAGGTCGCTGATTGCTAACCTGGCAAGGTGGGTTATTACTGGCAATTTATTGCCTCCATCCTCATTTCAGCTCTCTGTAACATTACACTTAGAGGAAATTACAACCTGCTTCACTTGACGGAGCTCTCAAAGCCGTTAACCGACCCATGACTCCGCAATAACTGACCTCAGTACATCTGACAGCTGAAATGAGGACCTTAAAGCCAATATTCCAGTGTCTGCTGCTCCTGGTTTCATTATGTCTGTCAAGGACTTTTGAATGCACTGGAAGTTACGGCAGGAGAGGTAATCAACTTTATAATTGAAGAAGAAAAAAAGTCCCAAAAAATCACAGTAATGATCTATTTTATCTATCAAGAAAAAATGACAATCTATGTTTCATTTTCAAAAATATAAATCAAGCCAACCAGCCTTTGAAGATCCTTTCTTATTCAACCTTTAAATGGATTTTTTTTAGAGATGTTCTTGCAGGGCAGTTAAATTACTGCTTATTTCACCAGTTAAAAAAACAAAGAACTATCTTTACGCTTATTCTTCCGAATTCCCCTCATTTCGGTGTGGGTTTTTTCATTATATAGAAGCTGTGGTTGATAATAAAAACTCGAAGTCTGACCAAGCCACTGAAAAACAAAGCAGAGTCAAAAACAGACAAATGCAGACTGTTGGGACTATATCAGTGAATATAGCAATAAAGATTAAGCCAGTGTGAAAGTGCCTTAAAGTTCAATATCAATAGTCGCTATATGAAAGCTGCTCAAAACATACTCTGGTTCCAATAGACCCACCTTTCAAATAGCCTGTCACTGTTTGGAAGTTGATTATAGTTTCA